GTTTTAAAATACGTCTATTAAGGAGATATTTTCATATCCTTATAAAAAATGAGTTGATTATACTAATTATTAATACTTATATTTTTCAGGCGGTACGGCTAGTGACGATTTCATATCGAAGTTGAGGGCCACTTTTGTTTTTCAAGTGGTACACGATCTTATACGACTCGTAACAAGTGCATATCGAAGTTGAAAGCTTTTTATACTCATTCTTGCTACTCTTCTTTTTCAAGTGACACGTGAGCTTGTACAGCTAATGACAAGTATATATCAAAGGTACGAGGATACATAGCTTGGAACTTTATATTACAAGCCTTTGAAACAAAGGACGACAATTATGAATTGGTTTAGGTCATTGTTCTTTAATAGCAACATATTGGTATTAATTTTGAAAAATATGGATCGGTGCTGTCACGCTCGTTTACCGAAGACTTTGATTCACTATAGTTACTACCAAACCAGAAAAAATTTTATGTTTAAATTGTAATATTTGATTATACCTACTATAAATTATCGGATCGGATCACTATGACATGTCTATTTCAGTGTAAAGTCTATGATTATCCATTCAATTGTGTTGCTAAGTAACACCTAACATAGTTTGGCAGTTATAAATTTAAACAATTTTGTTTTTTTTTTTTTTTTTCTAAAATGGCGTGTGGTTCTTGTCATCATCGTCATCAGCGTTATCATCTTACAAGTTGTTGAGTTTTTATATATATATGATCCAATCCTCTGCCATGGCTTCCCAAATTTGGGGAGGGAGGAACAGAGCAGAGCTTAATTCGTTTCCATGGAGGATTTGAAGCCGAACCCTGCTAATTCCTCTCCCCTTACGCCGATCGGCTTCCTTGAAAGAGCCGCCGTCGTCTACGGCGATTGTCCCTCCATTATCTATAACTCCACCACCTATACCTGGACGGAAACTCACCGTCGATGTCTGCAACTCGCCTCTTCCCTAGTATCCATCGGAATCCAGAGAGGCCAAGTCGTCTCCGTCGTCTCTCCCAACACTCCTGCCATGTATGAACTCCATTTCGCTGTTCCAATGGCCGGTGCCGTCCTCAATACCATCAATCTCCGCCTCGATTCTCGAACCATCTCCGTCATCCTTCGCCACTGCGAAACGAATCTCATCTTCGTCGATCAAGCTTCTTGTGGATTAATCTCTGATGCCTTGGCCTTGTTCCCGCCGGAGATGAAACGGCCGCCGTTAATCCTCATCGCCGACAACGCTGCGGCGGAAGATTCGTCTTCGTCATCGTCATCGGCATCCTCTGTTTCGAATCGCGCTGATTTTGTCGATTCGTATGAGGAAATGGTTCAGAAAGGGGATCCTCTGTTCCAGTGGATTAGGCCGGTGAGCGAGTGGGATCCGATTGTTTTGAACTACACTTCCGGAACGACGTCGTCGCCGAAGGGAGTGGTTCACTGTCACAGAGGAATTTTCACGGTGACGCTCGATTCGCTTATTGAATGGGGAGTTTCTAAGCAATCGGTTTATTTATGGACGTTACCGATGTTCCACGCTAATGGATGGAGTTTTCCATGGGGAATCGCCGCCGTAGGCGGCACAAATGTTTGTATACGAAAATTCGACGCGGCGACGATTTTTGCCCTAATTCATCGCTATCACGTGACGCACTTGTGCGGAGCTCCGGTGGTACTCAATATGCTAACAAACTCCCCTGACAATCGGCCACTTGATCGACCAGTCAAGATTCTCACCGCTGGAGCGCCGCCGCCTGCCGCAGTTCTGTTTCGAACCGAATCGTTAGGGTTCGATGTCAGCCATGGATATGGACTGACGGAGACTGGTGGACTGGTTATTTGCTGCTCGTGGAAATCGGGATGGAACCGACTACCGGCGGCGGAGCGGGCGCGGTTGAAGGCGCGGCAGGGGGTGCGGACGTTAGCGATGGCGGTGGCTGACGTGTTGTGTCCAGAGACCGGAAAGAGCGTGAAAAGAGACGGAACTTCAATCGGAGAGATCGTTCTGAGAGGTTCATCGATGATGCTAGGGTATTTGAAAGATCCAGAAGCGACTGCGAAAGCGATGACCGCCGAGGGATGGTTCTTCACCGGAGACGTTGGGGTTATGCATCCGGACGGGTATTTGGAGATCAAGGACCGATCGAAGGATGTGATTATAAGCGGCGGAGAGAATTTGAGCAGCGTGGAGGTGGAATCAGTTCTGTACACAAATCCGGCAGTAAACGAGGCGGCAGTGGTGGCACGTCCGGACGAGTTTTGGGGAGAGACGCCTTGTGCGTTTGTGAGCTTAAAGGAAGGATTGACTCGGCGTCCGACAGAAGGGGAAATCATTGAGTATTGCAGAGGGAAGCTGCCGCGGTTCATGGTCCCGAAGACGGTGGTGTTCATGGCGGAGCTGCCGAAGACATCGACCGGAAAGATCCAGAAATTCGTCCTCAGAGAAATGGCCAAGTCAATGGGCCCAGCCGGGAGGAGCCGTTTGTAGAAGAAACTCATTGGTCCACGTTTGCATTAATATAATAAACACTCTATTTTGATCCTAAAACATTGGAATCGGTAACCGTCATTATTGTCTTTCAAATTAATTATATAAGCTTAAGTTTAATTTAATTTTATTAAGAAGAATTAAAAAAAATATATAGATTAAATCAGACATTTAAAAAAATAATAATGTCTTATTTTATCTATTTCCGGAATATTCTTTCATAAATATTTTTTTTATGTAAAAAAAAAATAATCATACCTCGTACTCCTAAAAATTATCATGGTCGCGTACTTTTAATTTTTATTTTAATTTATTAAAAAAAAGACATTGAAAGACCACGAAAATGACTATAAAACTTTAGAAATAGTACTTTGATTTTAAATTTTTTAAATTATAATAATAAAAAAAATATTGAAGAATATAGTCAATAAATAAATAAATAAAAAGAAAACGTGCGGCGATGGCCAACTAAGAGTCGTAAGGGAAAAAACAACAGGAAAATATATTTTTTTAATTACATTTATTATTATTATTATTTATAAAATATTAGAACAACAACCACGATTTCACGTGGGTTCGAGCACTGGAAACAGTGCCAAAGTCAGAAATTCAAATTAATAAAATTAAAATTAAATTTTAATATTTATTATTAAATAGCCAAATTTCTTTTTCACAATAATTATAAAATTTCTTTTTATTAAATTTTGGATTTTTTTTTATAAAAATTATTTAAATTTTGGATTGAAAATAAATAATTGTTGACCACGTGGAAATCAATTAAAATTATTACGGAGAAATGAAGAAAGTGGCAGACAGCCACAAGTCATCACCACGTCCATTCGCAGGATCTATCTGATAAGAGATAAATGATAATATCCTCTTTTTTTTTTTGTTTTTGTTTGTTTGTTAAAATTAGACTGATACAATATTTTCTAAAATAAATTTAAAAATAATAATAATTATGAACTTGCATTAAAAAATATATATTTGTTTAAATAATTATAAATTGTTAATATATTTTTTTCGAATGATTATAAATGAGGAGAAATAAAAGATTTTAAATTTTTAAATTTTTACTAACAAATAACCCAATCCGAAATTAGAGGGTTGAATTGGGTTACCAATCCAACTAATAAATTTTCGGTTTGTCCAAAATCGGTAGTGATAGGTTGATAACAATATTTTTAAACTTTAATTTAAAGTAGGAAAATTTCTTTTTCACATAAATATAACGTTTCTTTTTTTTAAAAAAAAAAATTAATTTTATTAGTTTTATTTATTTATTTAATTTTTTTTTTCTGAACCCAATTTGTCCTGATAGGTGGAAAACTCTTTTTTGAAATTAAATTTTAAAAATACTTTTTATATTTAGTTGTATTTTAAAATACCAATTTTTTTTATTTAAATAATTATAATTTTTTTTTTATTTATTTGTGAATTTTTAATATATTTTATCTAAGATTGTAATTAATAATTATAATTAGTGTATTAGTAAAAAAAAAATAAATAAAATTTTAATTGTTTAACCGCTCGACAATCCAACCCGAAAGTTTTGGGTCGGGGGTTGGATTAGATTGTAAAAAATTTAGAGTTAGGTTGGATTACCAACACGAACTTTTGGGTTGGTCTAAAAAATTCTCTTAACCCAACCATTACTCATAGATTGATAAAAATATCTTTCAATTTTATATACATCTAAAAAAAAATATTCTTAAAATTTTAAGAGTTTAATAATAATCTTAAATTAGAAGAGTCTAAAAAAATACTTTAAACTTTTATAAAAGTTGAAAAAATTCTCGATATTGACCATTCACTATTCACGAGACTGTTTACGTAAACAAAACCTGATATTTTCGCCCAATTTGAGTATTTTTGTTTCGACTTTGTATCCACTTTCGGTGGTACTCGTATTTTCTCTTATTTTAGTAGATATTTAAGGAGTTTAGAGAAAATTTGGAAAATTTTAAGGACCTAACCGTGAATGAAAACTGTCATGTATACCCATTAAATCACACCTCAAAACTTCAGAAGTATGATATAAAAAGTATGTCATGTAAATTTGAGCTCGAACTAAGTTTATTTAATTTATGAAAAAACATGTTAAAATGTTACGGTGCACAATTCTCAAAAAATAACTATTGAGTTATGATTGAATGAAACTGAACATATTAAATGTTGACTTTTAACATGATGCACGTTTTCGAGATATACATCATCGAGTCAGCTAGATCAACTTGAAAATAGGGTTATTATCTAGTCTGACCCAACTTTCTCTAATTTTAAGATTGACATGAATATTAAGAATATTTGACATTTGTAACTGATATTCGTGATGTGTTGTGACTTGTACATGTTTGATATTTGAGTTTTATGAAATTTTAGATGTTAATTAAATAATAATTTAATAACGGGTTGTTGGTGTCACCAACTCCACTCATGGAAATGAATTTCATCGAATAAATTCATAATTTTAACCTAAATTTAAAAATTTTGAAAAAAAAATTTGGAAAATTTATTTGAACGTATCTGCATGTACGCAACAAGTTTGGAAGTGGTAAGATTTTGGACTGTGTGTGTCCCAAATCGATCTGTGGTGGTGACTGAAGCGATAACAGAGAGAGTAATGGCGGGATGTTAGCGCTTATCGGTGCCTAATTGGTTCCTGTTTGAAGCGAAGAAATCGTTGCAGAGACGACAACAATGGCGGGCTGTTTAGCCACTGCCACTCTTACAACCACTTCTCCTCAACTTTCCTCTTATTCTCCATCGAACTGTCGCCCTCTTTTCAGTTTCAGGAGGCAAATTGTTGGACTGGGTATTTCCTCCGTAGCGCCAATCCTCCGTCGACGACGTGTGCCGTTTCAATTAGGTTTCAGAAGGTACGATGAGAAAGGCCGGTTTCGTGTCGATTATGTTGCAATTCCAGTGTCGAATTGCACCAGAAGTGGCGCGGATACCGATTTGGATTTTACAGAGTCGATCGATTGCGTGGGGACTGCTCAGGATGTGGAGTGTGTGGTTTCCTCGACTGATGAAGAATTAGGGATTTCTTCCGATTTTGATAATGATGGTGATGGTTCCGTGGCAGTCTTGGAGAAAGCCTGGGAGTTTGCTGTGTTGGTTTCGCCGTTTTTCTTTTGGGGTACGGCTATGGTGGCCATGAAAGAGGTGCTTCCAAGGTCTGGTCCTTTCTTCGTTTCCGCCTTTCGTCTTGTACCTGCCGGTTTCCTCTTGATTGCCTTTGCTGCTTTCCGCGGTCGCCCCTTTCCTTCTGGGTTTTCTGCTTGGATTTCCATTCTTCTTTTTGCTCTAGTCGACGCTACATTATTTCAGGGCTTTCTTGCTCAAGGCTTGCAGAGGACATCCGCAGGCTTGGGTAGTGTAAGTTCCATTTTTTCTTGCATCTTTTGCTTTGTTATGTAAATGTCTTCTTAGTTCATTGCAGATTTCTGGAATTGGTAATTGGTGTATTAGTATATGTATATGTTGGTAGTGCTGTTAGGCAGAAATGAAAAAAGAAATCAAGAACACAACTGAAGACGAGAAAATTATTTCATCTTCTTTGCTTGCTTGATTAAGGGATCCTTTAATATTGAATCCCTTGTGATTTTGAAGAAGATTCAAAGATAAACATGGATATATGGTTACAAAGAATTCGCGTATCTTATAAATTAACCTCCGGGTGTTTTGAAGTGTATGATCCATACAATTAGAAACGTATCAAGTAATTTGCAGCATTCCCTTAAGCCGAGTTCAATTGTTGACGATGCCAGCACATGTTATTTCTTTGATGCCCAGCTATTGCCCCCAAAACCTATGATATAGTAATGTAGGTTGGTATGGTTGAAGAACAGGATTGAAACTTCATCTCTTTTCCGTTGTATTTTGATTGAAAGGAAGGCGAGTTTTGATTTGTGAATTGTTATAGGACGAAGTTGAATTTGAATATGGAGATGGAAATGACATCCAGGAGGAAGTAGTCGGTTTTTTCTGAATTTATAATCTTAGAGATTATAGGAGTAGGTTCGTACTTGAGCATGTGGACTTTCAAACAATTTCAGGAGAGAAGAGAGAGACACCACTAGTCGATGTATTTCATGCTAGATCTGGTAGATTGAAAACACCAGGCTTACTTACACGGATTTGCAGCAATATTCGTTAGGAATTTTAGAACATTCTCAAGATAGATTTCATGTATGCTCCCATTGGAAGTATAATAAAGTTAAGAAATGTGGACAAACTTATGGCGATTACTTTCCATTGATATTTATAGCATCCCACCCATACTCCTCTACTTGGAGTTCTCTTAATAAGAACTTTTGTATTTATGATCTTTCCCTCATTTGTACCAACTGGGGGGAACTTTAGCTTTTGTAGGCTTTATATATTATCATTCATTCCAACAACAAAAAAGGGTGAAAAAAATCACATTTGGCACTTTTCTCTCTACATCTCTGTACTCATTCAACTATCATACGAAAATTATATTTATACCTCTTGTTTCTGTACATATGCCTTCATTGCAGGTAATAATTGATTCTCAACCATTAACCGTTGCAGTGCTTGCAGCCTTCTTATTTGGTGAGTCTATCGGTTTAGTTGGAGCCGCTGGACTTGTACTTGGAGTTTTAGGACTTATACTCCTTGAGGTACTCGTCTTTCCCCTCCTCGGTATAGTTGGGGCCCTTGTGTTAGTGTTACTGTCTTACAGATGCATTACATAACTGGATGGTTATAGAGATGTGCATGATTAATGAGACTAACAAAGAGAAACTATCAACAAGCTTGATTTATGTAATTTTTGGCGGGTTTGGTGAGCTTTTGGGATGATGAGATCCAATTTTTGTAAGAAATGAAAACCGTAATTTTATAGTACTCTGCTCTAATAATGCAGGGAGGTTCTGAACATAAAATTTATACTGGATTTTGAGAACTACTGTGTACTCTTTGGCATCTTTAGAACTGCGATCTGATCAAATCTTTTGATATTTCAATCTAACCTTTCATATTCTTTGTAAACTTTGATTTAACCATCCTATGAATGCTCAGCTTGGCTTCTTGTCTTTTTTAAATAAACCACTTTTGTTTTCTCTTTCTTCCACAATAGAATAATGGTCTTTTGTGCGTGGTGTGCGCGAATGTCTTTATTTTCTTTTAAGCATTATGTAAGTAAGATTGTTCAAGAGTTATATTATATGAAAAAAAGAGGTGGCATCAACAAAATCACGCGACCCATCTATCTGCACTTTATCAAAGCATAGCTTCTGTTTGATGTGGCACTCGGTTTGACAGGTTCCTTCACTTACTTTAGATGCAAGTAGCTTTTCGTTGTGGGGAAGTGGAGAGTGGTGGATGTTTCTAGCTGCACAGAGCATGGCAGTAGGTACTGTCATGGTCCGCTGGGTTTCAAAGTATTCTGATCCTATTATGGCAACTGGATGGGTAGGATCAACCGTTGAAGTGATCTTTTATGAAATCATATCACTGTTCTTTCTTATGCATTTCAGTATACAGATTTTTTTAGTGGACCCTTTTCGTCAACCTTATTAAAAATGTATATGATCGCATGATTGAAGAAAATTAGTTTTTGATCTACCTTCAGTACTTGTTCATAGTCCTCATGGGAAATTTCCTGCCCCCTTCACCCAGTTAACCCATCATTTTATGATTTTGACTGCAGGCTATTAAATATAGAAAGCATCAAACTTCAATGGAGTTCCTTATTGGAAGTTATGAAATACTTGAAGGATGCGTTTTACAAGGCCTTTGTCTATTGAACCAAATAAATGTAATTTTTTTTATGTTGCAGCACATGGTGATTGGTGGTCTTCCGCTTTTGATGATCTGTTTCCTTAATCATGAGCCTGCAGTCAGTGGGAGTCTTCAGGATTTTACAACAAATGATATACTAGCACTCTTTTATGCATCTATATTTGGAAGTGCTGTTAGCTACGGTTCTTTCTTCTATAGTGCAACAAAAGGTTTCACACTTTCCCTAATAGCATTCTCTAGTTTTTGAGGCGTGTTTTGCTTTGAAGTTCAAATTCTCTCATCTTGTTGCTTTATTCTTTATTATAAGTATGATCAAAGACATAAGAATAACATCACTTTATAGGTCTCACCGTGCCAGGTTAATAGGCATTTTGAAATCCATTTAGCTCAAGGTTCACTGGTTTTCCGATATGCTGTGTGCATCTGATCAAATTCTTAATGCCCCTTGATAATACTTTGTAGACATTCATGGCTCGTTACTTAATCTCCACTTTGTGCTAATTCTCCATTGTGGATGTTTTTTTTACTAACAGGTAGTTTGACAAAGCTTAGCTCTCTCACCTTTCTCACTCCAATGTTTGCTTCAATTTTTGGGTAAGGTTCTACACGCTATTTTACAACAGGGCACAAATACAATGAGTGAAATATCTACTTTACAGACACGTCAATGTTTCCTCCGTTCGTTTATGTCAGGTTCCTATATTTGGGAGAGACATTTTCACCTATTCAACTGGTTGGAGCCGTTGTCACTGTGGTTTCTATATACGTGGTCAACTATGGCAGTAGTTTGGAATGAGCTCACAAGATCTGTTCACGCTTTCAACATTCAAAAACAAAGGTTGCCTTTCATTATCGGACATGAAGGGCCAGTTTACATAATACTAAATTTAGAAGAAATTTCCACGATAGGATATACTTGATGCAATACTTTATTGTGCTGCAATCTGATAGTACTTGTGCACACAGCATATCAGAAACATTGACGATAGGATATACTTGTCAGATCAATCTTGTGCGTGCAAACACACTTAGCAATGATGCATGATTATGGACATCTGCTAAGTCAAGAGCCCTCGTTGCGCAAATCTCTTGTGAGTTTTGAACTATCAGGGGAAGATCATTCGTAGCATTTGTAATTTTAGTGACCGTTCGTCGTTGGACGATGCCTATTCATAGCATTTGTATTCAAATTATGTAATTATGGCATTTGTTATATAAAATTATTGTAATTATATATTTTTCTTGCTTCATAACCTTGACATATATGGTTTATATATTTTTCTTGCTTCATAACCTTGACATAATTCAGTTTATGGTTTATATATTAACAAGAACCTAGTGGAAGGAAAGTACACATTTACTGAAATAATTTGCGCTGCTAATATTGAGTGGAAGAATACAGGAACAGGAGAAATTGTTGCAAGTTTGCAACTGAATAAAAATGCAGAAGGCTGAGGAATGGAAAAAGACAACAACACAAAAAGAAACAGGCAAATGGCCGAGGTGAGGAGATCTATACAATTCTAATCAGGTGGAGCCAGTGGCTGCAACAGGAATTGTATGAAGAACTTTACCGGTACCGCCTCCGAGTCTGCCACGGCCAATCCCAGTTCTTTGGGAATTGGATTCCCTCCTTTCGGCTGTTCTCCGCCTGTTATCATCTCCGGTGAGCCCTGGTTTTGATTGCAGACTACTCCCTGAGCCATTATGTGGCTGGCCTTCCTCTTTGGTGTTCTGTCTTGATGTCCAGGAGTCAGTTGAAATGCCCCAATGGTGCTGTTGAACACTGCCCACAAAACTGCTGCTACCAGAGGATTCCTGATCATCTGTATCTCCCCCTCGAGCAGCAACGACAGGGCTGCCGCCCCTTCTCACAGTCGTGTACTTGTGAAAGCTCGGTTCCAGAATATCGTCATTCATGGCAACTTCTGATTCAACAAAAGGGTCTCTAATATCAGCCATGCCCTTCAGATTGCCACTGTAAGGTACGCTATGCTCATTTCTACTGGATTGATATGTTGGTGGATTGCTTCTATCCTCAGAGAAAACACAGGAGAAATTCGAACCTGTTGCTGAATTGAGATCAGCAACTGCTTCAACAATGGAACAGGCCTTGGTTACACAAGCTGGAAGAGAAACAGGGTTGGCATTCTTTTGATGGAAATTCTGAATGTCTTGAAGCAACATCTTGGTGTAAGATGGTGTTTGACTTTGATTCAGCAAAGCTTCTGGATTAATATCTAATTCTCTTGATTGCCTTGCAGATCTGCTCCTTGCCAGTCCCTGGGGTTTCTGATGCTCTACCACGACCACCTCTGTGTTTGACAATGGTGTTGTGGAGGCTATAATATTCACAACAGCTCTGGTAGCTGCGCTGCCTGATTTGTTGCTATTCACTTGGGAAACTGTTACTTTGTGACCACTTTTGGAATCAGTTTTTGGCTTCTGTGACAAAAGATTGCAAGGTATGAATCAATATTAAAAGACTTTCTGGACACTTGAAGTCATGAAAGAATAGGGTGTGTAGGTTCCAAATGTACCTGGTAGACACCATTAATGGATTCCTTAGCAATCACTTCTTCCGTTTCCTTTTTGCTTCTGTTGTTGATCCTTTTATGTGGCTGTGAATTAGTATCAATTTCACTCAATGGGTTTCTTCTGTAAGGAGATTGCTCTGCTTTTCTTGATGAGCTGCGGCTGAGAGATGGCTGCTGCTGCTGCTGGTTTTCGTCCGCGGCTTTAACAATTTCCATGTTTCTAGCAGGAGACTGTGAACGAGGCGATGAAGCAACCCTTGAACCCGCCATGGCAGTCGCCTCGCCGAAATTCCTTTTAACTGATATCCTCTTAACAGCAGTCACTGTCGCCGAATCATTGTCTCCATAACCACCAGTGACATTGTTGCTCTTGTCCATTTCCATGTGACAGACTGTTGCAGGGACCGAAACCATTTTTGCTGGTCGACTGAGACCACCGCCACCGCCACCGCCGTTATTGGCATTGGCATTGGAAGTATTCATTGCAGAGGGCTCCGCTGACCGTCGGCCAGGGGACCGGCTAACACGCCTCTCTCTGCTGCTGGACCGTTGGTTTTGATCTCTCTCCCTACTTGGGGTTCTCCTCCTTCCTTGAGAGGAAGAGTGTCTAGAAGACTGGCGGTGGCCCTGCCTTAGATGGTGGCGTTTCTCCGCCGGAGTTCCAACGTCGTCAACCTCAACAGAAAAGGGATTCTTCCCATCTTCATCTTCATCACCAAAATTGGCAGAATCAACACCATCTCTGCCACAATGATCAAAATCATTGCTTCTCTTAGAACCAGAGTACCTTCTTCCATTGCCTTTAGCCGATGAACTCCGACTCAATCTTCCACACTGAATCAAGATGGCATCAACTTCCTCTTTAGTACAGCTCGAAGTTCTCACCAAACCCACCTTCAAATTTTCACCCAAAGCTCCAGACTCCAAAATTTCACAGGAAGAAGAAGACACATTACCCTCTTCAGGAGGAGGAACAAGAAGAGAAGCCCCATTTTTGTCCCTTCCATCGTGGCTCTTCCTGTGCTTAATCACAAAAACCTCCTTCTTCACAGGGTACTCACTTCTTTCTTCTTTCCACTCACCATTTTCTTGCCCTGTTTTCTTGCTACTCTTGCTTTTCAGGTCAGTGGTGGGCGGCTGAGAAATTGGGATGATGGGTTTGCCGCCATTGCAGGAGCTGGTATCTGGAGGTACATCAGTAGAAGAAACCGAAGGTAAAGTCTTCTTCTTTTTGCTCAAACAAGCACCCATTAGAGAGGATCTATAACAGTTTTTAGTAGACTAAACTCCAGAAATCCTCCAAAGAGTTAGGGATATGGAAGAAACTCAGCTATGGAGAGAGAGAGAGAGAGATTTGAAAGTGGGTTTAGTGAAGAGAAGGCAGAGAGACAAGAAAAGAGGGTTAACGGGTGGCGCTCTGTTCAAGAAGCATTTTCAAAATTCTGCAACTTCTATTTTAATGAAGAGAGAGAAAGAGGAGAGAGAAAGAGGAAAAAAATTCGAAATTTGAGTTACAGAGAGGCAAAGATAGAGGGCAAAGATCTCTGACAATTAGAGCCGTTACTTAAGTTGAATGGAATTGAAAATACCATCTCTCTCTCTCTCTCTCTCTCTCTCACTCTCACCTCTTTAAATATAAACTTTGGCTGTTACTTTTTATTTAATAGCCTTTTTCCTTCTATTTTTTAAAATTATTTTCCACTCTCTCCCTTTATTCCCTGTCCATAAAATTATTTAACTTTCTATTTCACCTTTATTTTATTTTTTATTATCATCCAATTTTCTATTTATTTTAGTGTTTTAATATTATAACATAATTTTCGACACAAAAGTGATAATATTTAAACTAATTTTACATTGAACCTAATTTCACACCCTATACATTTAGCCAATATAATAGGCCGAAATCAAATGCTAGCCGAAATCAAATGGGAGGTAATTGTAAGATGAAGCAAATATATATAAAAAAAAAATTACGAGAACTCTTTCTTCATCCCTTAAATATAAACAATGAATAAATTCTCATTCCCAATCTCGTTTATGAGAAATTTTTCTTCGTCCTCCTAATTGACGTCGAAGGGAGGTCCCCAATTAGTATTAAAAAAAAAACAACATTCTTTTATTATAACAGTTCTAAGTGTAAGATATAAATTGGACATCTTTAATTGAGTGTGAGAGAATTAAATGGAAAGTGAATTTTAAAAAATCTATTTTATTAAAATTATTACTAGGTCTGTTATATGACATCATAAAATGAATATTATTCAAATTAAGAATTATTTCATTCGTCTTTCATTAGGCCTTTTAATTAGTCTGTTCAATTTTTACATCGTTTTTTTTTCTTGTGTTTATATAATTTCACTCATATGCTGTGTATAACTCCGATATATATATATATATATAAACAATCAAATGATTTTGGTGTTATATAAATTTTCATTTATATACTTTTTTTTTTTTTTTTAGTATGTTAGATTATTTTTGTTAACTGCAAAAACATTAAATGCAAAGACAAAGAGTTAGGTACAAAATAAACCATTGTTTAAACCAGGAGGCTCCACCAAAGGAATAACTTGTGATTTGTTTTATTTATTTATTTAATGGCATTTAATATTTTAATTCTGTATTTTTATGATTGAATTCCATAATTACTCAAACAATTAGTTCCGAGGAAAAAGCTATGATTAACAGACAACAAACATTTTCCTTAAAAAACGCTAATTCATCATTTACTATTTTCTTCCCTTTTTTTCTTCCAACTTTAATAGTAAGTTTTTAAAATTCACAATTTTTTTTCTTACACATAAAATATAATTTACATGTACTAGGTCAATTCGTTTTATGAATTGGTAACGTTTTATGAATTTGTAAGCAGCCTATCAACGCATCATTGAAATTTTAAAATTCTATTATACTTAAAATTAAAAGTTTAGGGATCAATAAGAAACTTTCCTAAAGACAAAAAAAAAAAAAAAAGCTCAAAAACTATCTGCGTAAAATTAAAAGTTGATAAATCTATTAAACATTTTTAAAATGAGAGAGAAGAAAAGTTATCGTATGCAAATTCAGTGTCCTAAAAACTAGCTAAACCAAGAAAAGAAGGGTAAGTGAACAATCAAAGAGCTGAGATGAACTTCTGAATTTTCCCCTGCGTTCGCTCCTTCTCTTCTGGTCCATCAAGATCTCCGATATTGTCGTGATACTCCTTTGATTCACAAAACGAAACGAATTGAAATGATTAATTTAGAGTATTTGAAAGAAAACATATTCTTGTTGAAAGAATAACAAAACTCAGGACAAAATAATATAGCAGGCACTTCACTACTAAGCACGTGAAGAACATTATTCTATATAGAATTGAATTTCTTTATGAATCTGTGAAAAGTGATTACACAGCCACCCACAGATTTGTTCCTAAGAAGATAATGGGGGCCTAAAGTTTCCCAATCCAACGTAGGCGTAGCAAGACGATGGGTGCATGAGAGTCCGTGGAGTTAGTAGTCTTAGTAAGAGGGGGAAGAGTTAAGGATTTATCCGGTGTGAGATATCACATTATTCGAAGAACCTTAGATGCTGTCAGAGTAAAGGATCGTCGATAAGGGCGTTCTAGTGCGTTGTATATTCTTATCCAAGAAACGTGTGAAGTGTATGGCTAACCCAATAACGAAAGTTTTGCAAGTGAAGGGGAGCATGCTACCCTGAGACAAACAAAAATCTTTCTTTTTGAAATCAAGTTTGAACAATCAACCCTTTTTATTCCTTGCTTCGTTATTTGCCATTGCTTCTACTTGATGTACCAAGACGTCCACTCTTTACATTATGCTCATACCCACTATTACTAATCTTGAGAAGGGTTCATCCACTCCAATAGCAGCTTTAGAAAGAGTTCGAAGTTTTTAATCAGAGACAGGAATCCAAGACTTTGGAGGGTATTTTCAAACATCTCAAACTCCTCGAGGGGTAAGAACTTGTCTGGCTTAAGTCTAGTCATTAATCATCGAAGCTCTTCTCTTCTTCTTAATGAGAAAAGTAAAGTTCAAGAATAAACTAAGGTTTCGATTCTGTCATGGCCTACCATTTATTGTGGAGATGCCCTTATGCAAGGACCCTGCCTCATTTCAGTCAGGTCTTACGTTTTTCAGAAGTAAATATAAGGCCATCTACGATAAAGGTATTGGCTAACTTATAGCCTATAGGGGTTAAAAAATGGAAGCCTATTTGAAATTTCTTTTAGAATAGTGACTAATTGGTGGGCAATTCAAGCACCCTATATGATATGATTTTGATATTTAGTACAAGCAAACAAATTTTAATGGGGCTTTGAATTCCTTATCCCAGAAGTCGCAGAACTCAGCATGTCGAAGCTGTCAGCTTGTGGAAATGTAGTTTTGTAGAAATGGAAGTCATCAACGGGAAAATTGAGGCTTGTTTAGAGTTGACGGTAATTAAAGATCACTTTCTGGTTCTGCAAGGGGCAGGAGTACCTACAATCAAGAGCTGACTACAAAACTAACGGACAAGCTGGTTTAACCCTCTAAAAGCCCCTACCCATCCATTTTCCTTCCTTGCAAGCCTCATTGGCAATTTAAAAGGTTGATCAACGTCTTTTGGATAGAGACCATATGTTCTCAGACAAGGCATTCGTTGGGCTGAAAAAAATTGGATTAGTACAGCAATTCCAAGCGTAAGGAGGTCCACTAAAAAGTGGGCAAATCAAGTCTTTCGTGCATTTCAACTTCAACAAGTTGTAGGCCACAATAGCTCTATGTTGCCACTTCCTCGCAATCTCAATTTTGAGCTGCTATAGATCAAACCAGTGATGACTTTGAGTGTTTGTTGTTAAAAATATTGTTGTAAGGCTTTGAAGGTCCTTAACCTAGCGGAAGGGCATGTCAACCAAGAAGGCCCCTTTAGAGTCAGTAGACCAATCAGCTCAACAATTTCTCAACTTCCACCTTCAGTAAAAAACAAAAAGAATAGTTCGCTCTCGCCACGTTACATGGCTTTGTAATTTCTTGGCTTCCACTTGGAGGACAAGTTGGCTCTATGGGAACGAAGTATTTATAAGCCTCCAAACACACAATTTATGAGAGAAGAATCGAAAAATGGATAGATGCACATGTGTGAGGTAAAGGAAAGGAAGGAGAATCTAGGAAAGTAACTAGAGGACATGAGGAACTCCAGGAAGAAGTGGCTTAGTAGGGAATGGGCAGGGATCTTACTAGTAAATTGTGGATTATGTGAGAGACTATGCTTTGGACCATTTGGACTATCAAAACAGAGCGAAAAAAGAGATTGGAAGATCTTCAAAGAAATTTTGGAATGATTTTGTAAATCTTTCTTCCACTTGGTCCTCTCTCTCAACATTTTCATTATAATACCATTTCCTCCTTTGTATTCAATTAGGCCCTTTTATAATATCTTGGTTTGAGCTTGCCTTTACTTCATAATTTCAATGAAATTATTAATTTCTTATGAAACAAAAATAAATATAATAATTCAAAAGTCAGCTTTGTAATCAATATACTGGATTTATTGGACTAATATTTCTCTTTGAATGGAACGAATAAAAAGTTGTGTAGAACAAGAGATAAGGCAAGAAATGCAACATAAAGAACACCTAGATCATGAGGAGTCACTTCTATAGAGACCAAAAAGACGAAATAAGTGGGTTTATAAGGGTGTATTCAACTAGTGATCTAAAAACAACAATTGGAAAACAAAGGATTTATTAAATAAAGAAGGATTCAGTGAAATACATAATTGAACGGTATGTTTTCAGTGTTTTCAAATGTGTGTTTGGTAACATATATATAGATTGGATCCCAATTTCAGAAGTTACTCAAAATATGTTTGATATTATATTTATAAACCATGTAAATAAGGGTAGTTATGGAAAATACCAATAACATAAAAAGGTTGTTTAAAGAATTTCCACTATGTGAACACATAAAATGCAAACAGATCTGTCAAATAGATATTTGTTAAATCCACTCGACTCTGTGACTCTGAAAACATAATTAATATCCAAAAAGTATGCCAGAAAGGTCCTAACTTACTACCGTATGGTTGCTTAAACATCATACTTCTCATCCAAGACAAAACAAAAATAAAATGTATATATAAATTGGAGAAAAAAAGGTCGAGTGAGAGGCAGACCTGAAGAATGTTCTTGATGTCCTGCCTAGTGAGTTTTTGTTGCTTGAGCAATAATTCAATTCTTGCTCTCATTTGAGAGTGTCTACAAGAGA